CTTTGAAGGAAATAAACTGAGTGATGCTGTAGAAAGGGAGGGGAAGGATGGCAGGACAAAGCAACGACACTTTGATGAGATTTCCAGACTGTCAGCATTGCCAGGGACACAGGCCAGCCGCAACATGCACAGAGTGCCTTGTACGTCGTGCCAGGTACTCTCCTAGACCCTGGGCTACAGCAGTGAACAAGAGGGGTGGATTTCTTGCCCTGGTGAAGGGAGGCCTCTGTGAAACCATATCGCTGAGCAGAGAGCTGAAGGGTCAAAGGGACCAGACATGTGGAACATGGTCCCAGCAGACAACACAGAGCATGTAAAGGCCAGGGGGTAGGAATGAACTTGACCCACTGGAGGAACAGAGAAAAGATCAGTATGGCAGAAACACAGAGAAGGAGAGGGAGAGGCAGAGTAGAGGGTAGGGAAGTTAGAGAGGTGGGCAGGGGCCAGACCCTGCAGGACCTTGGAGGATGGTAAAGAGTTTAGATTTTGAAGTGCAATGCAATAGTGCTTCTCATTCCTGGATTCCCCAATTCACCTTTTCAAACATTCACAGTGGGCTGAGCACAGTGGCTCATGCCTATAAATCCTAGCACTTCGGGAGTTGGGGGCAGGAGGATTGCTTAAGGCCACGAGTTCAAGACTAGCCTGGGCGACATAGAAAGACCCCTCCCTGCCTCTGGCTGGAGAGGGTATGCCCAATAGTCGCAGCTATCAGGAGGCTAAGGCAGGAGGATCCCTTGAGCCCAGGAATTAGAGGTTATAGTGAGCTATGGCCAGGCCACTGCACTCCAGCCTGGGTGACAGAGTGAGACCCTGTCTCCAAAAACAAACAAACAAACAAACGAACAAACAAAGCAAAAAGAATGATGATGAGATAGACTATTTATTGAATAATGATGATGTATTAGGCCCAGAGCCAGACAACTTAGATATACTATCTCATTCACTCTCTCATGTCAACCCTGCCAAATAGAACTGAACTGTCGTCATCCTCATTTTGTAGACAACTCCCTTGCTGGTAAGTGGCACAGCTGCTTTACTCATTAATTCATTCATTGGTTCATTGATTCACTGATTGATTCATTAATTAATTGAATCATTAATTCATATTTACCAAGCACTGGCTCTGTGCCAGGCACTGGCTCTGACAAGATCAGTAAGATGAGGTTGTTCTTATTGGTTCTCATGGTATAGTGGGATATCACATAGAACGTGAGCCCAAATTTAAACCACAATGTGAAGCAGATACCCATAGGATGGGGGATAATAACCTAGGCACCTAGAGAAAGAGGGACTTTTCCTATGAGTGGCTTCAGGGACCACTCAGTACATTGTCAGTAGTTGAAACCTCTATGAGCCTCAGTTTCCCCTTTGGTAAAGTCAGCACGTTGGATCAGGTCCTCCTTGAGGTTGCTCTGGTCTAGCATGCTGGGCCCCAGGTGTCACAGGAAGGGAAGGAGAGCAAGGGCCGACGACAGATGTGAGAGTCTCTCAGCTCCAGTCTTCGGAAATGAGATTTATTGGCCATGGGAAGTACTGGGGAAGTACTGTCATTTAGTTGTTCGTGCGCTCAATAAACTGAAAGAATACCTGCTCTGTTCCAGGCACTGGACTAGATGCGGGGGGCCAGCAGGGAGTAACACAGACAAGGACAGACAGGCTCCATAGGCTTTCCTGCTCGGAGAAAGGGGAAATAAATCCTGAATGGCAAGTAGGGTTTCCAGAGTTACTAATAAAACTACAGGATGCCCAGTTAAATTTGAATTTCAGATAAACAATAAATCATTCTTTAGTGTAAGTATGTCCTAAATATTGTATGGGACATACTTATACTAAAATTTTATTGTTTCTTTATCTAAAATTCAAGCCTAACTGGCCATCTTATAGGGGGCGAAGAGGTTCGGCACAGTCCTGAAAAACCCATTCTTGATTTCACATTGCAGCAATGCAATGATTGCAACAATTTCTCAGGTTTCCTGCAGGCCAAGAGTATCACTTGGTGGTGGTTCAGGAATGATCCAGCCCCCAGTCCACAGACATCTTCTTCCTCCTCCTCCACCCAACTCCCAGAGTCCTGTCCAGAGCCATAAATTGAGTAAGAGTTTCTGAAGCAAACACAAGGATGGCTGGCCTGGACTGACTTCCCCTCCAGGCATGAGTCATTGGCCAGGCAGACTGACCCAGGCCCAAAAGCTTCCAGAGAAAGTCAGGCATGGCTTCCAGGGTGAATTGTTAGGGTTGAAGAGGAAGCAACCCTCCATCCCTTAGCACAGAAACTCAGCAAACTGGTAAGTTAGAATCTTTTAGAATCAGAGAAGCTTCCTAAATCCTCAACCCCTCTTAACGCCAGGGTTTATAGAAACTCTCAGCAGCTCTCTTCCCTGCCTTCCCACAAACAGAATCTAAACTGAAAGTTTCAAGGACAAGACTGGATTCAATTTCCACACAGACCTGGTAAAGCATGCATCACTTGGAATAGATCCTCAACCACATCAAAATAGTCATCATACTCACAAGCAAGAGCTTGCCATTACAATGTGATAAGAATACTTCTACATAAGAAATAATTCTCTCCTTTAGTTCTTACAACAAAGCGGCGAGGTAGATATTATCACCCCATTTCATAAATTAGAAAATGAACCCAGACAGGCTAAATGATTTGCCAAGGCCATATTCTTAGAAAGTGACAGTGTCATGAATTCACACCCAGATCTGACTTCAAAGCCTAAGAGTTTAACTCTGCTGTATGATTCAAAACGACCTTTCTGGCCGGGCATGGTGGCTCACGCCTGTAATCCTAGCACTCTGGGACGCCGAGGCGGACGGATTGCTCGAGGTCAGGAGTTTGAAACCAGCCCGAGGGAGACCCCATCTCTACTATAAATAGAAAGAAATTAATTGACCATAAAAAAATATATACAAAAATTAGCCGAGCATAGTGGCACATGCCTGTAGTCCCAGCTACTCGGGAGGCTGAGGCAGAAGGAGTGCTTGAGCCCACGAGTTTGAGGTTGCTGTGAGCTAGGCTGATGCCACGGCACTCACTCTAGCCTGGGCAACAAAGTGAGACTCTGTCTCAAAAAAAAAAAAAAAAAAAAAAAAAACTAAAAAAAAAAAAAATGGCCTTTCTTCAATAATACCCAGTGCAGTCCCCTCACTTTATAGACGAGCAGGGAGTATAGGCCGGCAGAGCGGGGAAGGTGTGGGCTCCAGGCCAGAGCACCTGGGTTCAAATTCCCAGTCTGCCATTTTCTCTGTGTAACCCTGAGCACGTTCCCAAAGCTTTCTGGGTTTCAGTTTCATCATCAGGGAAACAGACATAATAAGAGTTACGACATAAGATTGTTATCAAGAGAAGTGGGTGAGACAATCCATCCTGGCTATAGTTAAAGCCCAGAGAATTGAAAGCACCTTAAGTGGAGGGCCATTGCCCCACCCCCTGCACGCCCCAGGGGACCCCCTGCCCAGGACGGCCTGTGCTTGGTTTATCTATTAAATAAACTGGTTGGATAACACCCTCTGAAGCCTCTTCCTTGCCTCTCTTTAAGACCCCTAATCTGAAATAAGGTCAGAGGGAAGGTAAGCATAAAGTCCCACGATGTCCAGGGACTGAATCTGGGAAATGACCCAACACCACTCCTGATGTGGTGGCCCTGCAGTGGTAGGGCATTCTTTTGGGTGAGACAGGTCTAAAGAAATGGTTACATAATTACTTGTCTGTGAATCTTTTTATTTATTTTTTCTTTCAGAGACAGAATCTTACTCTGTTGCTCAGGCTGGCATGCAGTGGTGTGATCATAACTCACTGCAGCCTTGAATTCCTGGGCTCAAGCGATCCTCCCTACGGTGCTGAGATGATAGGCGTGAGCCACCATACCCAGCCTCGGATCGTGAGTGTTTTATACCAAGTGTTTTCTGAGCACCTGCTTTATGCTAGACACTATGCTGCGTCCTGGGGTAAATGCCTGGTGGATAAAGCAGAGATGGTCCCTGGCCTCAGGCCTCATCGTGATAAGTGATTCTAGGGAGGAGACTATTACAGGGGGATCAAGGAGGGCCTCCCTGAGGAAGGGGCTTTTAAGCTGAGCTCTAAAGGATGAGCAGGAGTTGGCCCAGCAGAGGGCTCCTTGGAGAACTGCATTACAGACAGCCTTTAAAAGCCAATGTCCAGAGAGGAGGAATGATTTGCCCCAGGTGATCAAAGAGATCTTTGTCAGAACTGCCCTTAGAATCCCATGGAACACTTTCTTCTCTTAGAAGAAAGAGCCACGTGCTTAACCGAGTGATCAATGTTAACATTTCCGGTAATGGGACCGACTGCCATTATGCCTTCTGATGTGAAGCATGAAGAAAAACACATCGCTGCTGTGTTATTCCTGCCAGAAATGCAGGACCTGAGTCTAATCATGAAGAAATACCAGACATGGCCAAATGGAGGGACATTTCTGCAAAATATTTGCTTTGTATCCTTCAGACATTCTCAGGAACTTTCAGATTCAAGGGGACTGAGAGACAGTGCCACCCGGGCATAATTGAGACTATTGAGAAAAAAAATCTAACATACTGTTTATTAGATAATGGTGTTGTATCAATGTTACATTTCCAGAATTTGATCATTGTACTGTGGATAGGAAAGAAATGTCTTTGTTCTGGAAACACACAGTTAAGTACTTAGGGACAAAAGGTCATGATGTCCTCAACTTCCTCCCAAATGAGTCAGAAAAAAAAATGGAAAGAGAGCTCAAAGGTGGCAGGATGGTAAGGATTAGTAAATTTGGATGGAAGACACACAGTTCTTTGTATTATTGTAAACTCTTTTGTTAAGTTTGAAACTTTTTTTCAAAATACAGAGAAGTAAATAAGTCAAGCAAGAAAGAGAAGCACCACGATGTCACCAGCCCAGTGTTGGTGGCCATGGCCAACGGCTCCCCACCCCACGTGCACCCCAGCACCCCATGGGATAGGCCTCACTGCCCTCTCTCTCGTGGGGAAGAGAGTACCTCTTCTGTGTTGGGGACGTTGGCGATCTTCTTAGAGTGTGCAACGTGGCCCACGACGCCCATGTCCAGAGGGAAGACAATCTCCTGGTCCGGCATCACCAGGCAGTCCTCAAGGGCGGCGTCCTTGTGCACGTTGAAGAGCCGGGTGGCCAGCTCCGCGATGCCGTTGCGTGTTCTGTACATGAACAGGCTCATGCGGTCCGCCTGCAGGAGGAAGCTCAGCTTCTTCATGACGTTGAAGACGCTTTTGTCGGTCTGTAAGTTCTCCTGGAAGTCCCGCAGGAGATCAAAAATGATTTCGCTCTCCTCTACGCTGCTCAGGGAGTGGTAAGTGCTGAAGTCCACGGCTGCCTCCTTGGCCCCGAGAAGGTCTGAGATGACCTTGGCCCGGTAGTGGACGTTGTAGTACTGTTTGGCAAAGCCAATATTTGAATCCAGGAACTTCTCTACCTCCTCTGCTGTCACCTCCCCCATGGCTGGGAATTCCACTGGCTACTGCTATGGAGGGGCTGAGCCTGAGGCCTTCTGCTCGTGGTTTGCCGTCCACAGCAAGTGGAATGTGCCCCTGCAGTGGGGACTTCTCTGGGTCTGGTCTGTAAATCGCACTGAGACAGCTGCATAGGAGCGGGAACGAGCTCGGGAGATTAAGTCATTAATATTTCTCAAGAACAAGGATTATGGGGATCAGTGTGTTCGAGATGCTGCAGGGCCCCAGCAGGGAGAAGGTGAGAATTCTCTTTTCACCGTGGTCTACTAAGAGCTCAGAAGAGATTTCTGCACGGAGCTAAAGCAGAGACTGCAAACTGACAGCCCAGGGACAACCTGCTACTTGCAGACATGTTTTGTCTGCCTTCTGCCGTAGTTTTCTGAAACATTGGACATATGAGCCTGACATTTACTGTTTAGGAGATTTGATTAGCTTCTCTGCCCACATTCCTTCATGTCAGGAAGGGCTGGAGCTGAGAGACAGCTGCCCACCAGCCTCACTGTACCCCTGGCCCTCACCCCACCCTTCCGTCCCCTTCCTCCATTCTCCCAGTGGACCTACCACTTGCACAGCCACTCGGCCTGCTTCCCTCGGCTGCATTCCGGTAGCTGTAGACTCAGATTTCACAATCTCTGCACTACAGTCTTTCCTAGCTTTAGATTTCAAGAACTTTCTTCTTCTTCTCTTTTTTTTTTTTGAGACAGAGTCTCACTTTGTTGCCTAGAGTGCCATGGCGTCAGCCTAGCTCACATCAACCTCAAACTCCTGGGCTCAAGTGATCCTCCTACCTCAGCCTTCTGAGTAGCTGGGACTACGGGCATGCGCCACCATGCCCGGCTAATTTTTTCTATATATTTTTGGTTGGCCAATTAATTTCTTTCTATTTTTAATTGAGACAGGGTCTCACTCTTGCTCAGGCTGGTTCCTAACTCCTGACCTTGAGTGATCCGCCCGCCTCGGCCTCCCAGAGTGCTAGGATTACAGGCGTGAGCCACTGTTCAAGGACTTTCTCATTTTGGCATTCTAAGGGCTCTCATGAAAACAACACCACCTTTCATGTTTTTTCCTTTATTACAAAAGTCATATATGTTCACTGTAGAAAATACACAAGGAAGACAATTAAAATCACCCATAATCTTGCTACTCACAGGTACCCTCTAATTAACATTTCACTTTCTGTCCATTTCATAGAAGCTTAACCTTAAATATCTTTTTCCTTTCAACCCATCTGATCTTTCTCTTGGCACTCTTAATGTGATTTTTCTCTGGCTCCAGCCTGTACTTTCCTGGGTTGTCTGTCAGAAATGCACACGATGCTCCGGATGCTGTCAACCCCAGTGAATCTTGAAATACCAGAATCCGCACTCCTGCACACTGGGAAGGTGGAAACTTAACTTTAGTTTCCGTGAATGTATCTGCCAGAGCCTGGCATCGCTACTTGGTAAACACTGTGGAATGCCTGATCATAGGGAGTTGCTGGCACTTTGGCCTTAGTAAATCATTTTTGTTGGAAAGTAGATTACTTCCTTTATTGCAGAGTATAATGAGTGCATGGGGCTGCACCCATCCACACTGTGTACACAGCAGCCCCCTGGCCTGCCAGCCCACGCAGCAGCCCGAGCCTCCCAGACACTCCCACTGTAACTGCCGGGAGCCCTCTGTCCCAGGGCACTTCCCCAGCTCTCTGCACGCCATCGCCGCCTTCTTCTTTTTAGTACTTTTTTCCTTTTGAAAAAATTTTAGTAGATTTAGGGGATCCAAGTTGAATTCCATTACAAGTATATATTAGTATTATTTCATATATAGTGGTGAGGTCTGAGCTTTTGGTGTACCCATCGCCCAGATAGTGTACCTTGTACCCCATAGCTGTATCCATTTTTTTCATCCCTTACCCCCTCCCTCTCTCCCCTGTCACTGCCTTCTTAACCAGGTTCCAGTTCATCTGTAGTTATCATCTGTAGTTATCGTATCCCAAGCAGCCCCTCAACTGTCTCCTCCCCAGCTCCTGCCTGTCATAGCATCCTATTTATTTCCTTTTTTTTTTTTTTTTGTGAAAAAAAAGGAGGGGTGGAGGGCTACGAGGAGGGGTGTTCAGTTGCCTTGTTTGTTTTTGTTGAGACAGAGCCTCCCTTTGTCGCCCTGGTAAGAGTGCAGTGATGCCATCGTAGCTCCCTGCAACCTCCAACTCCTGGGCTCCAAGCCATCTTTCTGCCTTGGCCTCCCAGAGTGCCAGGATTACAGGTGTGAGCCACCACACCCAGCCTATTTCTTTTATTACATTTATTGTTATCAGAAATTATTGTGTTTATTTTTTGTTTCCTTGTCCTATTGTCTGTCTTCCCACTATACTGTGAGCTTCTTGAGGGCAGGGACCTGTCAGGTGGCCTTGCAGGGCTGCCTGGCACATCCTTGGTGTTCAGCATTGTGATATTGTGAGATGTTTATTTCATCTTCAACTCTGTTTCCTGACATTCAACTTCTAAAATCCTTAGAATCCCCCAAGTGATGTCTTTGTATGCTAATGATTGACTGGTGGCTGGCAGCCCCTAGCAGCTTCAGGATGGAAAGACCTAGCACAATTAGAGGGCTAGGACTTCTAGCCCCACCCCCAACCTGGAGGAGAGGGGCTGAAGGTTGAGTTGGTCACCAATGGCCAGTAGTTTAATCAATCACGCCTACATAAGAAAGCCTCCATAAAAACTCAAAAGGATGGCGGGGCACAGTGGCTCATGCCTGTAACCCTAGCACTCTGGGAGGCCCAGGCGGGACGATCACTCTGAGCTCAGGAGTTTGAGACCAGCCTCAGCAAGAGTGAGACCTTGTCTCAAAAAAAACAAACAGCAACAACAAAAACCCTCAAAAGGACAGGGTTTAGACGGCTCCTGGATAGCTGAACACTTGGGGATTCTCAGAGCGTGGTGCACCTGGGGAGGGCATGGAAGCTCCAAGCCCCTTCCCCTGTACCTTGTGCTATCATCTCTTCATCTGTATCCTTTGTAATATCTTTTATAATAAACCAGTAAGTATAAGTTTTCCTGAGTTCTTTGAGCTGCTCTAGCAAATTAATAGAACCCAAAGAGAGGGTCATGAGAAGCCCAACTTGAAACTGGTCAACGAGAAGTTCCAGAGACCCAGACTTTCAGCTGGTATCTGAAGTGGGGTGCAGTCTTGCAGGACTGAGTCCTCAACATGTGGGATCTGAGGCTATCCTCAGGTGGACAGTGTCAGAATTGAATTAGAGGATCCTGGTGAGCTAGGCATGATAGTGCATACCTGTAGTCCCAGCTACTTGGGAGGCTGAAGTGGGAGCATCAACCTGGGCAACATAGCAAGATCCCCATCTTAAGAAAAACAAAACAAAACACTATAGCACCAATATTCTCACGCAGTCTTCCATCCAAGTACTAACCAGACCTGACCCTGCTTAGCTTCCAAGGTCAGGAGAAATAAGGCAGACACACGTAGAGTGATATGGCCATAGACTTTTTTTTTTTACTTTACAAAATATGAATATCTTTCAAAAGTATCTCACATTCATTTTAATGACTGCAGAGGATCCCACCTTATGGAGGTACGGAATACCATAGTGCCACCCTCCACAGTGGGGTTTCTCAGCCTTGGCACTACTGACATTTTGAGTCCAGTAATTCTTTGTTGTAGAGGCCTTTCCCTCCTAGCCTGCCAAACCCCGACATCCCTTGGAAGCCATGGAAGAGAAGACAGTTTCCCTCACCCTGTCAGCTAGCCCTTAGAACTTCCAGAATAGCCTTGTTGGTCTCCACCCTCATTTTATACTTACTTACCTTGGTTCACTCCCATATTTCACTGGTGTTTAACCTTGTGAACTAATATGCTCCCCCCTCCCCCCCACAGGCTGACTGAATGGACCCCCTCGTGGCCAAAGGAATATTCTAGGGCAAAGTTGCCTGCCAGGAGGAGGGAGGTCAGATATGCCTTGTCATGCCCCCCTCCCTTCTTGGAGACTTCCTTTGTAACCCATTAACAGGCCTATGGGTATGCAAAACAAACCTGCAGGTCCTCAATTTATGCAACAAATGGTGGCTTATCTCTGGTAATCAGTTTATGTTAAAACATTCCAGGTCTTTAGACAAAGCTTCAAGTCTTTAGCCAATTACAATCTAAAGAATCTTTAAACCCACCTATAACCTGTAAGCCTCCCCCTAACCCCCTTAGAGATGGCCCTCCTTTTTGGGCCAAACCAATGTATGCCTTCCCACACATTGATTGATGGCTTTACCCAGAACCCTTGTCTCTAAAATGTATAAAAACCAAACTGTAACCCAGCCATAGGGAGTCCGCTTGCTCAAGGCCTCTTGGCAGTGGCTCTGGGTCATGGTCCTCAAATTTGGCTCAGAATAAATCTCTTTAAAATTATTTTGCATCTGCATCCCTGGTCCATAATATTAAAAAAAAAATTATCTTGCAGACTTTGGCTTTTTTTCCGTTGACACCCTTCACCTAGAGTTAATGCCAATTCCTAATTGTGTTGCCACCTGTTGACTTAGTGACTTTATACAGCTAGATGTGTTTCCTGTTGGGTCTGTGTCCCTAGAGCTTGGCCAGTCAGTCTGTGAAGTTCTCTTCATTAACATTTTACCTTGAGGGTTTAACTTGGGTCCACAGGTGAGCCAGGTAAAAGTTTTGTCCTTATGTACATTTTAACCTTGTGTGCATTCTTCTAAAGCTCAGATTCTGAAAGGAATCTATAACTCACAAAGAGCTGGGAACTTTGGGTAATCCTGAAAAGTCAGGTGAAATCAGGCCCTAAGGACATGCTTTTTAACAATAGCTGGAGAAAGGCAACAGGCAGGAGGGGATACTTAGGCACTGGAACCAGAGATAACTGAGTTTGAATCCTTTTCCTACAATTTGCAAGCTTTGATTTGGGGCGAATTACTTAACCTCCAGTCTTAATTTTACTCATTTGCAAATTGCAGGTAACAATGATACTTTACAAAGCTGTTGT